ATTCTTATCGTCTTACAGTCAAAGCATTCAGTGGCCATATACTATAGTATGAAAATAATTTTTAAGTTCGGTCACTTTTTCCAATCAAACCTGGAGAATGCGTAGACAAAAATCCACGTTAACGATGAGCCTTATAGGTTATAAATTACAGCCGTCTTTTAGACGGTTAATGGCCTGCAGTCGGCCGGCGCTCTAAGGTTTTAAATTTAAACGAAGCTTGCCATGTAAACGAGCGTTTCATGAACAAAGTCCAATTTCCTGCTTCGGAAATTTATAAATTCGGTGCTAGCGAGCGCGTCAGGCTCATCGGGCACGCCTAGAACTTTGTTCTCTTACCGAGAGTTCAAGAGCAATTAGTTCTTGGCGTTAGGGTAAAAAAGTTACGTGCTCAGCAGACTTACCCCAAAACTAAACTTAGTTCATGCAATTTGTCTTCAATCATTGACTATTATTGTGTCGAAATTTTCCCGATGAGAAGTTAAGGTTCTGAGCAAATTACGTATTATTAAGACACGAACGTTTAAAGTCAGTAAATGGTAGATGTTGTATGTCCATAAACAATGCTGAATTAAAAATAAAAATAAAAAATGACACATGCCATTGTTTAAAATGCATTAACGCAAAAAATAACACGTTTTTTCTGCACAACCAACCTAATATTTTTATGTAATGTGCAGAAAGGCTCACATAAAAGTTAGGCGAAAACATAAAAAATTGAATAAACTCAAACCCCCGAAAAATCCCTGTAAACAGTAAATTTCACTCGACCGTAAACTCGGGAGGCGGCGGCCTGCGAGATCCTTCCTTTGATGTCGCTTCCGGGCGCGGCGAGCGGAGCTGGTCAGAAAATGAATTTATTATAGTGTGCAAATAGTGACACACATTCTGCACGTAACACTAATGTGCCCTTTTGCCATGCCAAAAAAGGCCAGGATATCTCACAAAATGACGAAAATTACATCGCTACTTGTAAAAAGTATCACTCATCTCCCCGAGAGTAAAGGTCTGCGAAGATCGGCTATAAAGGCCCCGATGTTTGCCAACCATTTGGGCTACTCTCATCCCTCGTTCGACCGCAATCTGGGCATCATTTCCTCCCTTGTGTTGAGGGACATTGTCATCAGAAATCACATCCTCTCTCCAGATCAAACTTCCTCAGAATCATAGTTAAGATAACGTGTTTTTTTATCTATAAAGAAAGACGGGAGTCTTGCAACGGCGCCACGCAGGGCCGAGTCGGACGATCACTGATCGAGCACTCTGGGAAATGAGTGAGGCTTTGTCCGAATAGCGAGAAACTTTTTGCCGAGTAGTAGCGAGACACCTTTTTTTAAGAACGTATTACTCAGCCCACTACTCATGCTGCGGGTGAAAAAGTGTCTCACTATTTGAACAATACAAAACAATTATTTTACTGGGAGCGTTTAGATTGCTCGCCATTGGCGCGGCTTCAGTGAGTTTAGGTGAACGAATTATGAGTATAATTGTGTGTCTGCTGCAGGGCTCACACGCGTTACTTTGTTTACAACACTACTTACACTCATTAATATGCTTGCATCAAACTTCGTTCTCTTCCCTGCTTGTGTAATCAATACACACATAAGTAATCATCAATATACACATAAGTATAGGGCACCCATGTCTTTGTATATTTCCTAGCTAACTCTTTATTGTATAATAGGTTTTTTATTCATTTCAGGAGGACATATTGTGATATTTATTCTCTTATAATACGATCAATTTTTTTGTCTTACCGCCATTAATTAAGGTGTTCACTCTACATTGTTTTAACATGTTTTTTTTTCTCTGAGCAATTTGAGCTATAGCATCGACCATATATACTAACCCACCAGGTAACTGACGTTGAAAACGTTTAATAAACGTTGAAGGACGTTGAATAAACGTTCAAACAAGTTCGAATAAACGCTGAAACAACGTCGAATAAACGTTGAAACAACGTTGAATAAATGTTGAAAAAACGTTGACTAGACGTTGAAACAACGTTGAATAAACATAGAAATAACGTCAAACAAATGTAGTTTCAGCGACATTGGCCTGGAACGCATAATAAAATGTTCGTGTCTGGACAGACGTGAGCTACTCAGATGAAGGCCCTTCGTGGTGCAGCAGTGCTCTGTGCTAGCCATGATCCACTCTAGCAATTAAATTATAGGTTTATTGTCCGAATATCAATGTTCTTTTTAACATCGCGTGGGTCATCTTGACCCAGTTTGCTCCTAATAACTTCATAGTATATATCAGTGCATGATAAGTTCTATCTTTGCTCGTGCTGTGTGTAAGAAAGTGTGTTGCTATTTGACCCATTTATTATGTTGAGTGAACTCTCTTGTCGCGGGTTGCCACATGCAGTCCTCGATGTTCACGTACGTCACACTAAATATAATCAAATATTCTATGAAGGCTTGTAATTTTTTAAGTAAAGTTAGGATAGCCTGAAAATATTCAAAGACCGCTTAAAAATTCTGAATATTTTTTCCATCGTTCTGAATCTTTTGCTTTGATTAAAAAAATCTCTCTACAAGAATTAATTTAGTCTGTGCAAAATTATAAGAAACCCTAGAACACCAAACAACAGAGGAGGTTCGTAAAGCAATAAATTTCGACACGGCAGGAACTTTGGACAGCGCAGCGGCTTTACTGCTCTTCTAAATCATGTACATGCACGATTCCTATTTGTGCTACGGTACAGTACACGCAAGCCTTTCTATGGCTTCATGGCAAGTATTTATTTTCTGTAGAGATTTTTGAGCTCAGTGCAAGTAATTTTGATCGATTATTTCCTCCTGTTATATTATTTTCCCCTCGATTATTTCAATCCTGTACCTCACAGTTATATTGTCATATCTCGCTGCCTGGTCATGAGTTTAAATATCGGTATGTAGACAGATTGACCTGCGACTGGGAGATACAGGAGCGATAAACCACAAAACAAAGTAAAGCTATTGTACTACAAACTTCTAAAACTTGAGAAAAACAAGAATGAAATAGTCTGCAAGAGTTACTCTCTGGTCTTCAGCAAAAAATTCATTAAAAAACACCAGCAGAGTTACACCAATTTATTTGGTACATACTTTCGTGAAATTCGAGTAACTGAAACGTCTCACAAATGTCATCCTCCATTGATTTAGGGATATGGAATTTAGAAATAAAATTTGTTGGCTGAACGCAGCAAAATGTTAATATATAGTATATTTACTATGAACAGTTAGAATCTGGAATTACACAGTATTCAAACTGACCACGATCGATGATGATGTGCCTATATACGGGTGAAAGATAATAGAACCTTCTTACGGCCCGTAGCCTAAGTGTGCACCCTCTTACGGCCCGTAGTCTAAGTGTGCACCCTCTTACGGCCCGTAGTCTGAGTGTGCACCCTCTTACGGCCCGTAGTCTAAGTGTGCACCATCTTACGGCCCGTAGTCTAAGTGTGCACCCTCTTACGGCCCGTAGTCTGAGTGTGCACCAAGAATTTAAACATTAAGAACTGATAGTATTCTTTACGTTTTTGAAGCGTTGATGGAGATTGGCTCATAAACACTTTGGATGATTTTTTAAGAGAATTTATTTGGCTTTTTATTTAAATTCTGGTGACTTTGCAATTTAAGCAGACTAATAATATTAGACTGACTGAGGTTTCATTTAACCTATTATATATTAAATCATATACTATATATTATATGTTTATTACGTAAGATCCCGCTGTTTGTATTTCGTTCAAAGAGAATATTTCAAGCAAGATATAAACTTCATTCAGACTTTTTTACCCTAAATATTTTGCTACAAATTCTAACAGTGCCGGGTAAACACTTACTGAGTTAGTATTACAACGTCAAAAGGTGCACGTCTGTACAGAATAATGAGGACGACAGATACAAAAAAAATTTTGTGCTCTCCGCAAACTTAAGATGAAAAATGATGTCAAGTTGAATGTTTCAATTATTTTATGCAGAAAAATTTACCGCTAAATACACGCCAAATTGTCTAACTCAAACATTGATATTTTAACAAAAACATTTCTAAAAATATGGTAGAGGTCTGTTTGTTTATCACAGGCTTTCCTTCTACTCTATTGCATAATTTTTTGTTAATTCGGTTACTCGAAACTTGAACGCAGAGCATTTTCTGTTATCTTGTTACCAACATGACGCTCTGGAATATCAACCTCATGCCCCGGAATACCAACATGATGCTCTGGAATTCCAACATGAATTTCCCGGTATACAAACATGAGTTTCTGGAATATCAACATGATGCCGCGAAAAACCAACATGATGCTCTGGAATACCAACATGATGCCCCGGTATACAAACATGATGTTCTGGAATATCAACATGATGCTGCGGAATGCCAAAATGATGACCCGGAATGCCACATCCGCAATTTTCCTAAATTCACTGTATTCGTCACTCATGACATGTATCCAGCCATTAAGTAAAAATACCAGGAATAAGTTCTGTACGCTGTTGAAAGAGAAGATTTTCACGAGGTATTATGTTCTTTTCATTTTCAATCGCTTTGTACTGAAATAATGTGCTCGATTTGTTGTGTACGATCTAAGTCGGGTGAAACATTCAAGAAACGTAAAAAATATAAAAATATTCGAACTAATGTGTTAAAGTAATTGTCGACTGAAAAAAACGATATTCGTGATCTAGATTTTTCGCAACTATATTTGAAATCGAAAATTTTAATGAAAAAAATGATTATATTGTATAATTATAGCAATGAATTATATTGGAGTCATTAATTAAGGTAAGGTCTTGGCATGTGGCTAGATCCTATGGTCCGCGGACAGTATGTGAGACTGCCACTCCGAGTCTCCGAGTCCGACTCCGACCGTCCGAGTTCCGAGTTCCGATGCTGATCCAGCTTCAGTTGCCTCATAGATGTGGTGGTGGATGTTGTGCGTCGCTCCTCAGTATCTCCGACACTGGTTGTGGAAGGCAATGGTCTAGCACGCTTGTGCTCCTGTGAGTGTGGCCCAAGCCATCAAAAGGATGCTGCCATTCATGTGAAAGTTGTTTGTGTGGCATGCCTCTGTAACCTTTTCCAATTACTCGGGTGGTTATATGAATTCCATGATGTTTGAAGTTTTTCAGGTTAATTGAAAGATTCTGTAGACATCAAATGGAATGCAAGTGGCCATAAATTCCTGAGTGACGGTGATTTGGTGGTGTACCTACTCCTGCTCCTGTATACCGTTCAATTTTACTCATGGAATATTAGCCATTCTAGAGTTTTTTTAACACCGATTACCTTTTCAATGGGTTTTTGTTCTACGTTTATTGACAGCTTACATTGGCGTCGTCAATCAATCCCGTCAAAAATTAGAATAAAAGCTCGTGCTATGTTTTTCAAATGTTAACATTTTTATTGAATATTCCATTGTTTGACCCGGTGTTCTAATTTTGTTAACGTGGCAAAAACCAGTAGATTGCACAAAAAATGATTTTTAATAATATGGTTTCTTTTTTAATTCTATTGCTTGTAATATTTGCAGACGAACGATCTGTTGGTCTCAAATAACGTAATTTTTAAAAATAAATTTAAATAATTCATTGTCAGATCCCAGTATTACACGCATAAATAGCAGCCATACCAATTTTCGTTCATGCACATACCTAAGTAATACTTTACAAATTCAGATCGGTGTGATTAGTGTTGGTGAGGTGCATAATCAGCGTGAATATCATAGGTTGGTGGTGCCAGCAATGCTTCGCGCTGATGCTCTAGAGCGAGATTAGTGATCGCAGCGAGCATGGCGTGCACGCGTGGCTGGTGAGACGAGAATCTGCCGGCACGCAGTGATGCCTAGCACCAAGAAAGCGGCACAATATCTGCTCAGAACTCACGACATGGAGCAAAGTGACCCTGAAAAAATGCTCCCTGTCGGCAGCATGCACGATGCTAAACTAGGGGCTACCTCGCTCAGGGTGTCCCGCTGTGGTGACAATGAAAAAATAAAGACTGAGCGTGCGTCATCCATGTGGCGCTCAACGCTGTGGGTTGTGGTGTTTTGTATAACTGTGACCGCCGTGTACCGACACTTAACACTATATGTGCAGCTAAATAAACTTGAAAGAGACTTGACGCATCTCATCGACAACTTTGAAGCTAAAGTGTACGATGTAGTTCGGAAGAAATACTCCATGCCTTCGTCGGATGGAATGTCCTCTAACTTCGATTCTCGAGAGACGCTGCCCGACTGGAGTGCCACCTCTAGTCGGGAGATCCGACACTCGTTCTTCGACTCCGCCAACGACTCGTCGGCTACGTCGCTGCCCGAGAACCGTACATCGCGGGGACGCTTCGTACGCAGTGCGCCCGTCACGAGCACCGAGCCCTCTGTCTCGACCATGAGCTGCCTCTGCCCCCCAGGTGCGTGGCCTCCATGCTATTTTTTTCTGTATTGCTTCAGTTGGTTTTTGCGTTTTACGTGTATTAATCGTCAAACTTAAAAGATATATGTACATATACCTACGTGTACTAAAAATTGATTAACTTTTTAGTAAACTTGCGATTTAAGCAAACAAGTGACATCAATTACATATAGGTACGTGTAGAAAAATTTTCATTGCCCCACCATGAGCTACCTCTGCCCCCTTCCAAGTGCAGTGCCCCGTGCTCTTTCTTGTGTTTCTTTTTAGCTTTTGTACAGTTTTGAGTTGGTTTATGCGTTGTACGTGTATTAAACAATAAACGTGAATCTTAAAACACCTACGTGTAATAACGCCTCATTGCTCTTGGCATCGTCAGATTGGTGTGTGTATATATGTTTCATCCATACCGCAAGAAACGGGTTTTCAATTCTACTTGTAGAGATCTCCTGTATTACCGCGCTTATGTTGAAAATTTATGCATGTGGTTCTTTATTAATTTATTACAATTTTTGTGATTTTCTGGCGTTAGTTTATGCCGTTTTTACGATTGCTGTTGATTTCTCATCTCTACCAGAACCTGGGGTAGAACTACTACTTCAACCGTCTCAGTCATTTTAAATTAGTGATAATATACCTAATTTTATTTCTGAATTATAATAATAAGCTTAGGTTTAATTGAAATAAAGTTGTAAACACTCTGTGTCTTCGTCTCGTGTCCGTAAATTTGCCTCGTTACATGTGTTTTCTTATTTGAAGAAACATGTATCTACATGTTTATTATTATATTTGCCCCGCTACATATTTATTCTTTCTATCTGTGTTGACTTTCTTTATCACGATGAACTATCCCAACTTGTAAACCATTATTAGTTATTATCACAAACACCACATTTCTCGGACGTGACATGATGAGGTACGATCACACGAGGACTTACGATAGTCGTAAAATTCTCAGAATGACCGGGATCTTAGCCGCTGAAAAAGTTTTGAGAGACTCGCGAAGGTGAAAAGTTCGGTCATTGTAAACTTTGAGACGAGATTTTTTCCATTAAAGATTCTCTTCTTTCTTAACGTCTGATCCTGTGACGCTTGTGCCGACGAGGCGAAATTGCCGCTGATGTGTTTGGCTAGCAATTAAATTAATGTTATACATTTTTACTGGAGTTGATGATATTCCAACAGTCCGCCGTTCTCCCGTAACTTTCTTATCGAGTTAGGCGTTAATGATTTATTTTGGCGCAAAGTAATTTGAACAAGAGTATGAGTGTAAGGACCTTGAATTACAACGAAACATATACCGCATAATCATGCCAAAGCTCTTCTCTTGCTCGAAACAATTAAGTTAGTGTGATTGTGTCTACTGCTGCCTGAGAGGGGAAATAAAATTTCGAAACGCTAAAAAATAGACAAGCGTAGTATTTGCATGTAATTAATAAATTATTTAAAAGAAGCATGCTCTTGAAAAACTTCCGAACTTTATAAAAATTTTACATGGTTAAATTTGAATGAATGTTTCTGTTCACGATCTGCTTTCTGGAGATGGACGAATGACAAGCGGAGATTAGAAGAGGCATCACAACGATGTCTGCAGCGATTATAAGATCATTAACTAAATATCAGCTGGAAGTTGATAGAAATTAGGTGCCACAGTCGTGACACCTAATTGCAACCGTGCACGCGACGGCTGCTGAGTAGCTACATTACTATATTCTTAATTCACTAGATACAACTAGAGCTGCATGCAGCAGCATGAAATGCAAGCTATAACTAAATAATTTAGGAATAAGAATCATGGGAATGCTGCTGTCTGTGCAGCTGCATGCATGAGCACCAGCAATCTTAAGCTACTTCTTCTTCCAGAAGTTAGATGCATGCAGCAGCTGCCGAAAGTTATTGAGCAGCAGCAGCATGCAGCAAGGTACAGTAGACTGCAGCAGCAAGCTGTAGCTATATTCTACAGTTATATGTTAGAATTATACGCCAGAGCAGATGAACGTCTACTCAAGAGGAAGAATGGATGTTCACACAAGCGTGGGCGCAGGGTAGCAGCGATTGATTTATGATGTTTTGTATGCAGCGACTTTTTGTTGCAAATGTCAGGGTGGCTTCTGTGGTGGCGGTCGAGTCTTGGCCCCGTAATGTGAACGAACCTTATACGTCCACACGACTTGCCCCGCGCCAACATCTAAACTCTATCCAGTCCCTGTATTTAAGGCTAGTTTTGTGCTCGTTCCACGAATTTAATATATTTGAGCGGTAGAAGACCCGAATGCTTTTACTTGCAGTTATACCTGAAAATTTCTGTGGGTCTTATCAATCCTGAAAGGTATATGAGAATAATTATCAGTTTTCCTGAAGAATGATAGTTTTTTTGCGTAATTTATCTGTCGAGGCCGACTTAAGACCAGGATTTTGGTGGGGAAGCGACAGAATTTGTTAACACCGAAAGAGAGGCCCACGCGTGCTATTTCAACCATGCCCTAACTTTGATGGCCTCAAAATTACAATAACTGAATTCTAACGTTACCCTAAATAATTTTCATAAGCTCAAGTCTTTGATGTGAACTTCAAAGACGTAGCCAGGCGGACTGCGGCTGGTGCTTCTCTCTCGCCCCAGGCGACCTTTTACCAAGCTTTATCATGCATCGCCTGCGCGCTCTATGGAAAACATACCGCCGCTCAAAAACCTGGCTTTTTTGCCCATTGAGTTCCTCTCGGTTTGTGTTTACGCGCCCCGCTACATCAGGTGGCGCAATGCTGTGTTGAAATTCCAGCAGATTCATGTTCGGTCGCTTGCGCGAGGCGGCGGTAATACGCTTCGAATTTTCGATATGGGATGATCGCTCTCTCACACTGTGTAGGTATGACTCATAAATTTGTCCAGCCTTGATTTTAACATAAGCAGTATTAATGCTGTAACTTGCTTGGCTTGCAATGCGCGCTTTCACTTCAGTTTCATACAAAATTTTGGACACGTGAAAGGATCGAGTTCAGAATGCCCATCTACGATGAAATTACTTAATTTTAATATTACTTGTAGACTATAAGAAACTTGTTATGATTTTAGACAGTTTTTCAATGTTTAGATTTGTTTCGGCTATAACCGGAATATCCTATTTGATCCGGAACGATTTGACACATTTGTTAAAGTATAAATATTAAATATATTTTACGTTACAGTTCTTGATTATACAAGAAAAAATAATAATAAAAATGACAAAAACATCTTCGCGAATGCAACGTACCGTACGTAAAACGCGGTAAGAGAAATGCATTGAATAACAAACGATACCATGCATTCGGATCAGAAGACGGCTCAAGTTGAATCACTGAATCCTAAAATGTTTCATAAGCATTCAGTATTCATCGAGGTTATTTATGCACGAGGCGATTGTAATATTTTCATTGCTGTACCTGTAATTTTCATACTATAACGTAGGCATATTTCTGCCGATTTCGCTCACCTGCTTTTTTGAACATTGATTTTGATGATTGATTTGAACATTTTTATAATAACATTGATGGTCGTCGCGGGATGTAGATTGTAGGTGCTCCAATTAGAAAAAAGAACTTGAGCAAAATGTGACTGAATCGCGATCGCTTCTGAGTCTACCTTCTTCATCTTAACTTTCTACGTCTGCAGTTGAGTAAGAAGATGCCACTTCTTTTTGCGATACTTTTCTCAGTTCTACACAGCGTGACACGATGTTATAACAGGAATTCTAAGTGACTTCTGTTATTCCCTCTTTATTTATTATAAGAAGAAATACATTAACCGAAACTTCCTAATCAAAGAAACTGTCGAGTTTCTAAATGTGAGATACTACACGTAACGCAAACGTTTTCTTCCATTGACTCGATTGAAAATTGAACGCAATTATTTGCGTATTAATGGAATATCCTAATAAAATTTTTTGGCAAGGAATTGCTGAAGCATCGGCTATTTTCGTCGCGTGTCAATGCCTTCAAAAAATGGCCGATTTTTGCCGATGCCGATTCCAATATATCTGGAGTGGTGAAAATTATTTTCGTATTTGCAGTGAACCTGCCAAGCCCAGGCCGGGAAACCACAATTTACGATCGTCCTGTAGAACTCCCGAGGCTTGCACGGAGTAATGCGAGACTTTTTCATATACACCTTTTGCCCTTGTGCCTGTCATCCTGCAGGACTCAGTTTGGCATAAGGGTGTATCTGTGATACGTCCGATCTGCCCGTGCTGTGGGTAAGAAAGTATGTCATTATTTGAACAATTTTAAACTTTATTTTTTCCAGTGTGTTTGTGAGTAATGTCTCCTGTTCGGTGCCGCTCTCGTTTGGTTTGTTTTGAAATTAACTTGTCCATTTTGACGTGATAAGCAATCGCAGCTGCCTGCTGATGGTTTATGGACGGAAGGAAATCCAGCATAATTCCTCCTCCCAGACTGGACCAACCGACCCTCATTCTTGCTCATAAATTTATGACGGGCCGAAATTTCGGCTCTGCGCACATCTTCCTTCATTCTTACCATAAATTAAGGCTTTATTCGGCGCCAATTTTTTGTGTGATATCGAGGCTTCAGGTTGATGGATGGGCCGCGGCGCTTAGCGAAGACTCGATTAAATTGTTGCTGGAATATAGACGAGATAGTAAAAGAACCTGCTTCTTTCTGATCTGATTTCGATCAGCAATTACAGCCGTGCAGACAAGAAGTTTTCATGTTATTAGATTCTAATACATATGATTTAATTTGATTTTAGATTGAAAATATAACGTAACTTATTTCTATTGGATAGTCCTATAGGTATTCAAATATGTCGCCCGTGATAATATGTATCAATAATTGCAGTAAAAAGGCTTTATTGCTGAGTAAGATGCGACTCCCGCGTCTGTTACGTCTGCATAATGAGGGAGCGTTCTTGCCCTGCCTCATTACACGCTAGGGGCGGCGGCCGCGGCCTGATCCCACCGGAAAACAATTTCATGCTACGACCGAGTTTTTGCTCACAAGTGAGCTGCT